ATATATATATACCAGCCTAATATAAGCTAGTCTGAAGAACTTTATCCTCAGGGTGCTCGGCAAGTATTTCGGTGTCGGTTTAGGGCCATTTATGTGGCTTCTGGGAGCAGTTCCATCCATGTTACATCTAGTCGACCCTTGAACTCCCCAAATGAGGCGGCCGTAACAACTGAGGATGGTAATTTGTTCCAGGGATTTATAGCCCTACAAACGAAAAAGGNGGCCTGGATACTTCTGAGCGTGCTCGGCTTCTCAAGTTTAAGTCCATTTCTTCGCAGAGCAAGGATGTTATTTTTAGACAGCAGCTGAGTATTAGATAATTCGTTTAGTTACTTGAGAACCTCTATGCAGTCACCCCTTAAGTGCTCTTAATCGCCAGTGGTAGTCCAAAGCTCCCATCAGTGTGAACCTCTTTTGTACATTCTCTGGTTTCAGTTTTGGCAAACAGTAAACATGCACATTCTCTGATCGGAAATGTTAACGCCGGTGCCTGCAGTGGTAGAGGTGTATGGGGTACCCAGTAGGAATAGTACCTCAGATTCGAAGGGCTGTCGGCCCCTTTGGGGCATCCTCCGTTCTTTGGTCTCCACCAAGTGCTCAGCTCTCACCTGCGGCGCCAAGAAGCCATTTGGATGTAACAGCAGCCACATCCCGGTGAACAGCTCGACAGGCGGGCCAAACCACGTTGAGAGTAACCGAGCTCAACTCCCGAGGAGTCGGTGTCTGACGTACGTGTTGGGCGGACGAAGTCGTTTTCACGACTCAACAGCCGAGGCAATGATTCCGTACTCATTAGGGATGCATGGATCCCTGTTCAGCTAGCAACTTTTCAGCCCTCCCCCAGAGGATCACCGGCAACCATGTGCTACCTTCCTTCTGCCTGGCCGTTAGCACTTGAATCTGCGAAGGCTAGAGATGCCACCTCGACCCAAGAAATTTCATGGATATTCACTCAACCTGTCTCGCTAATCATGTTAGGGCGTTCCCGGGAGGCGACGCGCCCTGTGCTCCTCCAGTAGCTCGGGTGACAACTATGCGCACTGGACACCTTAAACTACGTAAAACATCTCATATTGGATGATGGGACTTAAGGACACTCTAAGATGCCGGGAGTTAGGTGCTAACGATAGGTGCATGATTATCAGCTAGATATTACATGCCTATCAGAAGTCAGACTATCTGGATCCGGCTCCAAAAGTATCAAATCCCTAGCATCGATAGCTAATCATGACTGTATCACAGCAGCAACGAAACGTCGGGTCAACACGGAGTGACACTTACTTTAAGCCATCGGGCCAATATTGCTTTACTTTCCTGAAAAACGATATCTTTTAGGATAGCAGTAGCACGATTCAAGGGCCATTCTGTAAACCACACAGTAGACATTGCCTACATTCCGACTTTCTCACTTGACAACAAAGTTAAGGATGAGTTATATGGCAGCTTTCAATCGCTTGTTAATGAATTTCCCAAAGGGGATGTACTTGCCATAGCAGGAGACTAGGACCCTCGAAATGGTCCACAACAACAGGCTACGAGGCACATCCTAGGGAGGTTTGTCCTGGGTTAGCGCCGCGAGAATGGTGACACACTACTCAGCTTCGTCAACTACAGTCGATTGTTTATTACCAAAACGCGGTTACAACATCCAAAAAACACCTGACGTGGTATTCCAAAGACGGACGAACAGCACACCAACTAGATTACCTCATCCGTGCTCAATGGGTTGCTTCGGTTGAAGACAGGA